AGACTTAGCTTAGTTTCAAATTGAAAGTCTGTCCTTGGATGTTGGAAACCAAGTGCTGGTGAGAAGTAGATGGTTAATTTGTTGCCTGGGCCCTGTCCTTGAATTCCATATAAAGGAGGAATTGGTCATCGGAGTTCATTTTTTGCTGATACGGAGAAGGAAGTTCTCTCTTAGATTTACTGGTGTGCTTTTGTCAAGCCTTCTTTTTGTCCCAGTGTGCCATTCAGCTGACCAAAGAAAATGTGTTTGACTTTGAATGTCGCTGGTCTTACTGTTATTGTTATAAACGTTTGTTGAAGGGTTCACCTTTTTCTATGGTAACTGTTGAAACCATGATTGTCAGAATTTACTACATGATGTACTTTCATAGAAAAACTCTGTGGGTGTTTCTGTCAAATGTGCGAGAAACAAAACTTTTTGTGCCCATGCTTTATGTAGTAATTTTAACTTTTTAAACTTGGCATGGAAGTCATCTTTTCAGACTGATCCAATCTGACCCAATTTTGGATTGTCAGGATTTGTAACTGTTACTGCTGCTTAACTGACCGTTTTTTTCCCCTTCTGTTGGTTTAGTTCTGTACAGGCAAGATGTAGGTCTACTAGTATATGATATTAATAGAGTTTTGGAGTGTTAGTTATTGGAACTTACTTAATGTTTTGGGTTTTTTTGTACCCTAGATAGGCCCGGACTGTCCACCAAACCAGAAACCATCTGTCCAGAAGTTGTCCGTGTCTCGTGAAGTCGGTAGTTGAAATGGAGCTATTGGTGAAAATTCCGTTTTTTGATGTGTCCACCAAATGACACACTCTTCCCTATAAGACTCAGGTCGGATGAAGAAATGCAGTATGTGACATTTGCGTTGGGTTATGTCCATCAGCTATAGTCCAGGCAGAGCTAAGAAAATTTCAAATTTTTAGTTCTGATAAATAATCTTATGTCGTATTCATGATCAGCACCCCAAAATTAGCAGTCAACACGCCATCCACTGGTTTAAATGCATATTTTTACCAATATTTTTTTTTCAACCATTCATGGTTTGATGTTCCTCCTAGAGCTTCTCAAATGACGTATAGTCTGACTGATCCTGCATGCCACAAAAGAAAAGACAGAGCTGCAGCCTACCAACAAAATTTTTAGTTGTTTCTGCTTTGGTGGACAGGCAACCTTAGAGAGCACAGCAATAGATCATACAAAGAAACGACTATTTAGATATTATAAGTAGAGTAATATAACAGACTCACTGGCTTAGCTGGAGCGAGATGATAAGTCTTCAAGTTTAGACTTAGTAATCAAATCTAATGTGTTTGTAGCACAGCCTCAGCTGACTATAAACAACAACCCCCCCCCCCCCTTCCCCACTCCCCCTCTTCCCATGTATCTCCCTCTCCCTACCTCAGTATTGAGTCTTATGGCAATGTGTCCTAAAAGGCACTGCCACTTACCCAGCGACAAAATGATGCATACCCAGAGCTTCTCAAATGATGTATACTCTGCCTAGTCTGTACATGTATGTACTGTGCCTATGATTTGAACAGGCTAGGAGGGTATGCCTACTTAAATTGGGTGCCAAGTCTTTATATATATATGCTTTATGTTTTCATAATAAATGGTACTGACTACATGCCTGTGTTTCTTTTTAGTTTGTGCTGTATTTTTGTGGTTTGGCATGCCCCAAAGACATGAATTCACTTTCCACAAGTGGGGAGGGTTTTTTTATACAGTCCATACAGATAACACAAACATGGAAAAATCGTGGATAGCTTGTACAATTTGCCGTTCCCCAACTGATATCTCTTCAACTTTTCATTATCGGTTAACCAAACAATGTGCTTCAACGGCATTACATCATATCTACCCCTGTACTGTGTTAGCCCCAGAATGGACTCATGGATGTGAGTGCAGTAGGTCAGGTGAGTGTCAAATGGAGACCTCAATCAGACCTTTACTCCCAGGGCTTGCAAAACAGTATAACATGTACATTACATACAGCGTGATAAATTTATTTTTTAAAAATCCAACAACTCACTTGGTAAATATTTTCCTTCACACTGAAGTTTTGTGTTTCAAATTTGTACACTACATTTTAGAGTCAAAAGTAATTTGATTTTAGATAAATCCACAGAATAGTTTTTCTAATTTCTAGCGCATAAAAAATCGAACCCGTTTTCAGCTATGTCCCCATTTTTGTAGCATGACGCACGAGTTCGCATTAGGCCTACCACTTAAAGTCCCGACGATTGGGCCATGTTGCAATCTACGGTAGTCTTAGAGGCCAACAGAAGTTTGCAGATAGTTTTTCTCAAGTTTACTTTGCCTCTTGAGATCATGGTTAAGATTAGTGAAGAGCAGACAGCTTTTTGTACGGAACATTTCCTCACCATCAACTCATTTCATGTTTTGCACAATGTGCGGAAATAATGCTAAAGGGTCTTTAAGGCCTCCTTTGATGTCGAGGATGAAAATGGTCCATCTGTTAGGACCTATAGAGAATCAGAACAAAAAATTCCCCGACAAAATGACCACTTCAAGACAAACTCAAAAACGTCGCCAGGGTGCAGCTTTCAGTCGGTGAGCCGCATGAGACGACTGTCCATAGACAATGTCTGTAGCTAGGATTTTCCTACATCTCAATAGTCTGCATTCTCAAGGCAGATCTTCTACGACTGTACCATTTTCCCGTTCGCGATGCTGATATGGATCAGAGGATAGCAATGTGTTCATGACACCTCCATCATATTGAAAAGCATGAACATTTCCTCTAGAGTCTATGACATTTGGTTCCCTGGCAAAGCCCATATTCACTTTTCAGGATATGTCAACTCAACAAATGCTGCCTATTTGGCAAACCTCACCCTACCCCCTATTGTCTCTTAAAAACAGCTCCATACTATAAGGTGTACAGTGTGTGTGGCTTTGAGAACTCATGGTTGGGATCCTTGTGTTTGGCCACCACTGAACATTATGAACGATAC